TACGGATCATTCATTATTTATCTTCGGGGGGAGGGATGAAGATGTTTTTAGGGAATCATTTGGTTTTCAGGGTGAACGGTGGGGGAACCTGTCGTGAACAACAGAGTCTAAATGGAGAGGGGGGGGGCTAGAAAAAATTGAATGTCAGTGAGGAGTGATCGTGCAGGTTAGAGTAATCCTGAACAGGAGTGTAGTTGGCAAAAATGATCGACGCTTCGCTCGTTAACGGGAGCCACTTCACTCTCAAGGCGCCTTTTCAAGTTTAGGGAACGTCAATCATCGTTACCGACAGGACGACACTGAACAGATTACCACTTTGGTCTGGGCTTGTCGACAAAGAGTGACGCCAGTCCGTCATGAGACAACCACAAGAACAACTCTTGACGGCGCCAGGATATATGGGTTATTTGCCAGCCGGGAGATCCTCATAGGGCAAAACTGCGCCCAAGATCTTGGATACCGGTCGAGGCCGTAGGCCGAGGGCGGTACTCAAGACAGAGAGCACAGTTTTTCCAAAACGGACCGACCTATGCTGGTGAATAACATTTTTATTCTTCTAAAAAAATGATTGCCAAAAGAACCCAAATTATTTAGGGCTACAATTACGAGTTTAATTACGGGAAAATCTTCCATAAACTCAACATTTTTTTAACGAGTGGACGACAAAGAAAAAAAACGTTATTCAAATTAAAGAGAAAGATTTAACCGAAACATTTACATTTGTAAAGGTAACATAAAAGACTTCTGAGCTAACTTTGAAATAATTTTTGATAAAAAGCCGTCATGATGTCACACCTGTTAATTAAAGAGGAAAAACGCGCATGAAAACTTCTGAATAAACACTACTATTTAAACAATAGAGTGTTTCTGTCGAGGAACTATCGGCTGATAGTTGCCCCGTGGAAATTTGATGTTCTTAAAACAAATATGCTAGTTTCATCTAATACCTCCGGTTTCTGTTGTGAAATTTACGGTAGAAATGTCCAAATTCAAGGCATTTGCGAAGAATAAGCGAAAGTGTATTTATAGAAGAACTCAAACCTTCGCTCAACCTATCACAAACGAACGAATAATAATAATAATAATAATAATAATAATAATAATACTTTATTTACCCACGTATCACCTAAGAGCTAATAGCTCGTTTAAAACATGAACGTGAAACTAATTACAAATAATGAGCTAATAAGAACTAATATCAAAAGATAAAAATATTGAAAAGCTATATATTATCTAATTTGTATGTACTATCTAATTAATAAGCGAAAGTTGTTAAAAATCGAGTTACAGCCTCGCCATAAACGAATGCAACGCGCGCCTAAAGGCAGCCAAGTCCGGACATTCCCTAACACTAGTAGGCAAACTATTCCAAAGCTTAGTAGTTAAATATGACCATGGCTTGTGCATGTATTCTAAGTTGAACGATGGCAGCTTAAGGGGTGTGCCAGACCCCCTTGGGTTGTAATTTACATTTAAAACGTTAAAAAACTTACTAAGATATTCCGGTCCCTGTCCTGTTAAACATTTATATAAAATAACTAATGACTGGAATTGCCTCCGTGTCTCTAAGTTTTGTAATTTAGCTCAATTAAGAAGAAAGTCATAAAACACTGAGCTTGAATACCCTAGGATAGTCCTTAGGATGTAGCAATTAGTGTCCTCTAACTTGTTTTTGAGTCCATTACTTATTCCTAACAGGAGTGGGCCACAATACTCTAAGTGGGGTAGTATATATGCTTTGTAAAGGCGAATCATAACATGTGGTATAAACCTACGCAGCTTACGCATGGCAGCTGCCTTAGCGCATGCCTCCTTAAGTTGTACTTGTATATAGGGCTTAAATGTTATTCTTTCATCTAAAATGACACCAAGAATCTTCAAACTATCAGTCAGCTCTACATTATCATCTTGTAGATTAATATTATATATATAATTTACTGGGCCAATGGCCATCGCTTGGCTCTTTGTTGCATTGATTTGCAAATAATTATGTTGGAACCATGTACGCGCTACTTGAAGATCTGAGTTAATAATGTATTGTAAAACAATAGTAGATGTATCTGAGGAGTAAGCAGTTGTGTCATCGGCATATAATCACAATGAGGGGCCTTCAATAAAATAATTCAGATCATTCATATATATGTTAAACAACAAAGGACCTAAAAGGTTCCCCTGAGGGACACCAGTTCTAACGGTTCTCCACTGAGAAAAAGTATTGCCAAGTTTAACACGTTGTTTCCTCTCACACAAATATGCAGTCATGAGTTGTAATGCCCTCCCTGAAAAACCACAGGCCGTCAGTTTAGCTAGAAGAAGTGAATGACACACTGAGTCAAAAGCCTTGCTAAGATCAACCGCGACTGCAACGACAGCTTCTGGCCTATTGAGACTCGCCCTCCAATCCTCAGTCATCTTAAGTAGAGCTGAACAGCAAGAGTGTCCCCTTAAATAACCAGATAAATTATGAGACAGCTTGCATCGAAAGGCCTCGTACATCTGAATTCAAACATGACTCTTTCAAAAACTTTGGAAAAAGCAGTCAATAATAAAACTGGCCGATAGTTAGCCTTGTCGGTCTCTTCCGACTTCTTATATATGGGGGAAACATTGAAACATTGCTACACTTCCAAATCATAGGCCCACTGCAACTTGTTATAAGATAGTTAATGAAACATGTCAGTGGCTGTGCAATGGCGGGAGCTGTAATACGCAGTAGTCTTTGCGATATGTCATCGCACCCTACGGCTTTCCTTGGATTAAGCTTCGGCAGTATGTCCTTCACATATTCCGCCTCTATCAGCTGAAAATAAAAATTGCTAGCAGGTCCGAAATGTTCAGCGATCCTCTTGACGCTAGGGTGATCTGTAATTTCATCCACACTCATTTGAGCGCCGTCACATGCAGCTGCGTCACAAAAATAATCATTAAATATCTCAGCAACACACTTGGGGTCCGTAATCAATTGCTCGTTCTCCAGCAAAACGATCTTGGACTGCGTCTTCGCCTTACTTGGTAGAAGCGGTTTCATTTTCCTCTAGAATTCTCCATGATACTTTTTATTCAAGGAAGCATCACGGTATTCTTCCCAAGAAGAATCAGTTGGATTTCTAGCGTGTTTCTTGAATAGTCGATTTCGCCGAGAAATTTCACGTTGTAATTCAGGAGTGATCCACGGCAGCTGGTCACCTCTGATCCACTTTTTCTTTAGAGGAGCGTGTTTGTC